CTGGAGGCCAGTAACTAGTGGTGTGCCCAGAGGTCAATACTGGGTCTGATCCCGTTTAACATCTTCATTAATGATCTGGGTGATGGGGCAGAGTGTACCCTCAGCAAGTTTGCTGATGACACAAAACTGGGAGCAGTGACCAGGGGGTCATGCTGCTATCCAGAGGGACCTCAACAGGATGGAGAAATGGACTGGCAGGAACCTTGTGAGGTTCAATGATAAGTGGAAAATACTGCACCCGGGGAGGAATAACCCCAGACACCAGTATATGCTGGGGGGGCCCCAAGCTGGAAAGATACTTGGCAGAAAAGGTCCTGGGGTCCTGTTGGACACTAGGCTGAACACAAGCCAGCCACGTGCCCTTGCAGCAAAGGAGGCCAACAGTTTCCTGGGCTGCCTTAGGATGAGTGTTGCCAGCAGCTCAGGGGAGGTGATCCTTCCTCTCTACTCAGCACTGGCAAGGCCACACCTGGAGTGCTGTGCCCAGTTCTGGGCTCCCCGATACACGAGAGACAGGGTCATACTGGATAGAGTCCAGTGAAGGGTCATGAAGATGATGAAGGCACTGGAGCATCTCTTCTAAAAGGAAAAGCCAAGAGAGCTGATACTGTTCAGGCTGGAGAAGAGAAGGCTGAGGGGGACCTTATAAACGTGTACAAATACCTGAAGGGAGGGTGCAAAGAAGATGGAGCCAGTCTCTTCTCAGTGGTTCCCAGCTACAGGACCAGAGGCAATTGGTACAAACTGAAACACAGGAGGTTCCCTCTGAACACTGGGAAATGCTTTTTTCCTGTGAGGGTGACTGAGCACTCGCCCAGCTGCCCAGAGAGGTTGTGGAGTCCCCATCCTTAGAGACAGCCAAAAGCCATCCAAACACGGTCCTGGGCTGCTGGTGCAGGGAACCTTGCTTGAGCAGGGGAGTTGGACCAGGTGACCTCCAGAGATCCCTTCTAACCTCAACCCTTCTGTGATTCTGTGAAAGGGAAGAAAGCAGTATCCTTGAGAAAGAACATAGGAAGCACCTGTTAACGTGCTGATCCCAGGAAAATAGCATGATGAACCATTCAACCTAGGGGATATCAGGTTGCCAAAGCCCCAGCTCCCTGGAAGTCAGGTTGGTGAGAGCAGGCCAAAGCAGCAGTGGAAAGCAGCAGACAGTCATGGAGGAGCACACAGAGTTTCCAGGTTACCTCCCCCAAATCACAAACACCGCACGCATACAGCAGCAGTATATCTCGGTCCACTCTGGCTCCAGGGATTGTTTCCCATGGAAGTGGGCTCACTTACTTATATATCTGACCCTTTTCCACACTGCCCCATGCTCCCAAGAGCCTGGAGATACTTCTCACAGCCTCCTCCACCCATCCATGCCCAAGGATGGCTGGAGTCCAGGAGGCAAGATGAAGGTGCCCCTTCCGCAGCCAGGGGAAGGGAAGCATCCCTAGCCTCTCCCTGGGCCTTGCCCAGAGCAGGCGATGCTTGGCAGGTTGCTGCTTACATCAGCCAGCCAGCGGTTGCCACAGTAACCGCACTTAGAGATGAAGGATATGAGGTTCCTGGGGTAACGGAAAAGCTGCCACCCGGCTGGGTGTTGTCTCTATTGCATGGCAGGAAAGGACGATGCAGTTTTCTGAAGGTGAGAAAATAAATACCCTTCCCTACGCTACACTAAGCCGGGCTTCCCATTCACTCCACCCTCCCATGCGCTGCCACAGCTCCACTCTCCACAGCCCTGTGCTCCCTGGCAACTGCACTGCTTCCCTGCACACCCAACCCGAGGACGCAAACTGCTTTAGACAAGAAGAAACCAGCCTACCCAGGCCGGAGCCATCGCTTTGTTCGGTTTCACCTGCAGATGAGCACCGCAGCCCCACCAGACCCACCCCAGCGGGACCCCAGGCCTAACCCCCATGAGGATTGCTGGGGAGAAGAAGCATTTACAGGATGCAGGTCACTCCTGCCTAGTGCCCTCGGTCACATGAAGAGCCAAGGGAAGGCCAGGTAAAGCCTATTCCCCTTCTGCTCCAAGTCCCTCGCTGCTTCATCGCGAGGCCCTCAGGGAGAGGTGCACCAGGTCAAAAGAAGTTACACGGCCCTAAGAGATGAGGCATCGCCATGGCCTCTGCTGAGCTCTCTTTTCAGCACAGCCGTGCGAAAAAGAGAACCGGCTCCGCAGGCTCACCGTTTGTGATCCAAAGGACAAACTCCAAAGTCTCTTTGGAGAGGGCCCAAACGCAAGCTGTTATGATCTGATTAGTTATTGGATTCTCTTCTGTTTGCTGGCGTGCCAGCCTGAAGACCACAGCCTCCAAACTCCCATCTGCTGGCTGGGAGAACTGGAGAGGACAGAGTGAGCAAGCAGAGAGCACGAGTTGGACCCACCTTCAAAGCACCCTAGAGAAAAGGGGGCACCTCCCAGGGATGCTCCTGCTGTGCCCAGTCTCCTCTGCACACATGCGTGTAAGCTCCTCAGCCTACGGAACCTGCAGCTGTACTGAGCATTCCCACCTCCGGCCCCACGTCACAGCAGCAGCACGCCGAGTTTCAGCCTGGTACAAGAACCGGGAGCTCTGAAAAATCACACGGGGTCTGGGTGTCTCTAATTAGGCAGCCGGAGTTAACAGACCCATTAGGTCCGGATCTTGCCTCTGCTTGATGTTGCAAGTGTTGGTCAGGCGGTTGTTAAGGGAGTACAGGTCCTCTGGTTGTCTAATTGGAGACGGGACAGACAAAATGGGGAGACTGGAGAGACAAAAGGGAGAGATGGATGCATACCAAGGGGGCCAGTTAAGATGACAGGCAGTCTTTAGGGAGCTCTTTGGATGCTCTTGTTTTGAAGGGCTGTTTCCCAAGTTATTTTGGGGGCTGGGGAGTATGACACTCAGCACCTCCGATTATCCCAGGGCCAGTAAAGTTGCGTCTAGTTCTGCCACACGAGCTGACGCAGCACTAACGAACGCTGAGGCTGGTTACCCAGCTGATCTCTCAAGTGGGAGATGCGGTACGTGGTTACCACCAACAGCCGTTCAAGGGGTTGGACGATTCGGCTCACGTATGAGTAAGGGAGGCAAAATAACTTCAAACGATCCAAAACACTTTTCTTACCCCATCTGTTTCTCTTGGGCTTGGGACCGCAGCCAAACCCCGGGAGAGGACACAGGGCATGGCAAGCTACAGTCCAGTGAAGGTCACCTCCAGGGGTCCAATGGCACCCAGGTGCCACTCCGCTCAGGGCTTCGCGTAGTCGAGAAGGGTCACAGCAAAACCTTACCCAGGCCGTTCTCAGTACTCTGCCAGCCAGACGTGGGGGGAGAATGCACCTCACCCCCACCCCTAGAAGGGCTGGACACGGCTGTGCCGGGGTCCACCCGACGAAGCAGCAGGCAGACCTCGGGCGCAGTACAGGAAGTCACTTTCCCCAGCCTCACCCCCACCCCTAGAAGGGCTGGGCACGGCTGTGCCGGGGTCCACCCGATGAAGCAGCAGGCAGACCTCACGCGCAGCACAGGAAGTCACTTTCCCCAGTGAGGAATCATCCCGTATCATCGCTCCACCTCACCTGGCCGGACCCCGCGCCCACACCACAGCCCTGCCGGCCACCTCCACCCTCAACTCCGGTTCCCAGACACCAGAAAGAGACCAGAACCCAGGCGCTGTCTGCAAGACATTGTCCATCCCTCTCTTGCCTACCCAGCAGCACCCCCTTGAGTGAGGAGAGCTCTCGCCATGCCCTCATCTTTGAGGTCTCAAAGATATCTAAGGGCGTTGTCATCTTGGTGGGACCAGAGGTGAAAAAAAGGATGCCGTTTCCAGCCTACGCTCACACTTTATTATATACAGAGACATGGTGAGTGTAAGAACATCAACATGGGACATGAGCAGTCAGGGAGGCCCGAAGGCACTGCCCCCTGCCCCCTCGGTGCAACCAGTCAGCATAGTTTATACAAATAATACAGTATTTGAACAATAAATAAGTTTGATAAATAAGATCAAGAAATTAAAAAAAAAACAAACGTAGAAAGACAAAGCAGCAAGGAATGATTTTGAGGGCTGCGACACATTCACAGCAGTGACAATACCACCAACACCTCACCTGCACACCAGCAGCTGGAGCACAGACCCCCATCAGCCCTTTTCTCTCACCATACTATGGTAAAAACCACTGAGGAGGGGGAACCGGGGCAAGTCGTACAGTTCATTACCGCTGCGCTGCCTGGGAGCCCTCCCTCCTTCACAAACCCCTTTGGAAAGGGTGCTTGAAAACAAGGTGCGACTGCGGACCCACTGCGCGTGGTCACAGCTTGTCTGTTTGGCACCAAAACCCACTCAAACCAGCCTCTTCCCTTTCTGTAGTCCTTCAGATGGACACCAGCACAGTTATTAACTGAGTCGGGGCAGAGGCTGGTGGGGGAGACGTCTCTAAGGAACAGGGGAGAGAAGAGATGAAGCGATGCTCCCTTTCACTCGTGGGAGGCTGAGATGCTCTCCAGAGCACCAGCAGGCTCCTTCCACAGGACCTGGCACCGATGGAAACCGGGTGGGTGATGCCAGCCAGTCCCCTGGCAAGGAGGGGCTTACCACAAGGACGGCAGGGACGCAGCTCAGCAGTCGAGTTGCGCAAGTGAAGGGACAGCAGTAAAAGGCCGCCACTGGTTATCTAAGAGAAAAATAAGACAGCCGGTCCCTAACTCCTGCAGCAGGAGAGGCCACACACACTGGTTTGACCTGCCTGTCAGCCTCAAAGCCTCCAGCTCTCTCCCAGAGACACCGGCAACTGGCAGACGAGGGAGAGCAGGACTCTGTCCATCATGGATAGCTCTCAAGAGAGACAACTTGAACCCTGACCCTTCCTGTCAACTCCCCCCACTCTGCCCCCACAGAAGCGCGTTGGAATGTGAAGAAACCAGGAATTGCGGGACTCGGGCAGTGAGAGAGAAATGGGAACAGATGGAGATCTGGGATGGGGAACCTGACCCCTTTGCCCTCACACGTACAGACCGCTACTCATCCAGGCCCGGTATCAAGTCTGCAATGCTGTCCACATAGTAATTGGGCACCAGATCCTTGGCAGCGGCACTGTCGCTGGCCATGTAGGCCTGCGCCTCTTCCAGGCGGGAGACACCTGTCAGGGTGAGGATGGTGGAAAGGCCGCAGTTCTTGCCGAAGAGGATATCTGTCTCCAGACGGTCTCCCACCATGAGGGTGCGGGACGGGTCAACGCCGAAACGCTCCACGATGCAATCAAACATGTACGTGTTCGGTTT